TTCTTTCTTTCTTTCTTTCTTTCTTTCCTCAGTTCTTAGCACCCCCTCTCCCTCCCTGCTACACACACACTTCATTCCTTCACGATCTCTGTTCCCAGAGCAGAGGGTCTTTAACTTTGGGTCCACAGTTGGTGCTCTCCTTCCTGATTTTCCAAAGAGAATGAATACATAAAAACAAAATCTCACATTTTTAGGGAGGGGCATCAGCTGTCAGTGTGCTCAGGAGGGTGATTTTCCCTCAAGGAGGTTGTGCCAAGGAGCTCAGCAGGGCCCGTGGGTGAGCAGGGGCTGGAGGGCAGGTTAACACTATGAGAAGCAAATAAAAGATTCATGAATTCAAGGAACTGTCTCAGGATTGTGGTCATCTTGAGGTTTTCAAAACCCGCCCCCAAACTAGGCCACAGCCTCCCTGGAAGTAAACGTGTCTCTGAGCGGCTCTAGGCCTGGCTGCATGTCCTGCCGCCCACCACCTCGCCCACCACCTCGGCAGGGACCTGGAGTTCCCTGTTTGCTGTAAAACTGCCTGTGGCTTCTCTAAGAAATTCTCCTCCCTGATTTCCCTTCAGGGTTCAGGAGATGGAAGAGCTTAAGGGCAGATTGCACCAGATTCCTATGTGACAGATGAGATAGTCTTGGGGAATTAAAAGTAATTTGAGATATAATCAGAAACACAGTGCACGGCTCCTTCAAGACTGGGGCTGCTCTGTCCTGAGGCTTTTGTGTCTCTGTAGAGGCATAAACTCCTGCTGGAGCCAGGATTTCCTACATAGGCCCTGTCTTCCCTCCCACCTGCGTTTGCATAAAGAAGCCAGGCAAGCAGTGGTTTGGTTCCCAATGACCTTCCTGTGTGCGCCCTGTCCCTGTGCACAGCACTTGTGTGTCTCCTTCTGTAAATACAGTTCTATACACCCACCCTTTGGGGGCCCTGGGGAGCACAGACTTGGGGAGCACACACTTGGGGGCACAGAGATAAGTTTCCTCCCTGGGGGCCTGTAGCTCACCCAGGGAGCACCTTGGCCTCCTGGGGGTAGAGCCCGGCACATCGTTTAGGAGAGCTCAGGCTCAGAAAACACAGCTGTCTCCACAACTGAGGCCTCGGATAAGGTTTCTGGGCGTTTTATCTCAATGTCTTGGTAGGGTAAGGTTTAAACATCAACATGCAAAAATGCCAGGGGGTGTGATCCCACACCGGGGGGCACCAAAACAGAGAACTAAGTCATTAAGGATGAAACTCTGGGTTTGTCTTGGAAAATGAAATTGAACACAGTGGGTGAGCTTTGTGGCCGCCCCTATTTTGCCCAGGGTAGGAAAGGGCCAGGTTGCTCCTGAAGGTTCTAGTTCCTTCCAGAATGTTCTGTCTCCCTGGTCCCGCCTGCTGGCTCATCTTTGGCCTTCTTCCTGTGATGATTTTCGACCATTACTGCCCTGTGATGCTTTCCCTGCCAGCGGCGTGCAGGCCCCAAAATAGATGGCTGCCACAAGCTCCTCTCTCCAGCCCTAAGTCCCAAAAGGCCTGAGGCCCAGGACAGGGAGGGGTCAGTGCTGATGTAGGGCTGACCCCATGTCTGGCTTGCTTCTCTGTCCCCCAGGTCCTGTACACCGTGTTTGAATCTTTCGTGACCCTGGGTGGTGACAAGGTGACTGGTGTGGATTGCGTGAAAGGCATAGGTATGTGTTGGTGGGTCCATGTATCAGGGGAATGCCAAGGTAGCATCTCTTTCTCCAAGATGCAGGCCACCTCTTGGCAGCGCCTCTGTAGACTGTGGAGGTGGGCTGGGCCAGGCGTGGGCACCAGACCTGCCCCTGTGACCCACAGCTTGACAGTCCTTTCTGCCTCCAGTGTGTTTCACAAACAATTTTACTGGGTTCCAGCAACCCTGGGAAGCCCGAGGGTCACTGCCTGGTTAGACCCACAAGAATATCAGGTTGGAGAATATGGGTCCTGGTGTCCTGAGGGGTTCTAGGTGTTTCTTGGGGCAGGAATAACAACAGTCTGGCTGTGCCTGCAGGTGCAGAGCTTGGTCCTTGCTGCTAACCCATACCCAAGGGCCACTTGTCACAGTGCTCTCTCTCTGATGGGAGCAGGGAGCTGGGCCTCCTGTGGGCTGCAAGACTGTCCCCTCCCCAGCTTTCCATGTTGAGGCTTGAGGAGTCCAGGCCTCTCTTCCAGATAATAGGCCTCTTGTTTGCTGAGCTGTTAGTGCCTCTGTGTGTGTGTGTGCGGGGGGGAGGTTACCAGGCAACTGCCATGAGGAATGACCTGGAAGGAAGGCTAGCCTGACCAGCCTGGCCCACACCACATGGGTCAGGCCATGCCCAGGCCACAAAGGGCCATTTAGGCAGCCCAGCATCACGTCCTTGCCCCTTGCAGTGTCCTTCTTCGTGGTGAGCCTGGGGGGCACGCTGGTGGGGGTCGTGTTCGCCTTCCTGCTCTCACTGGTGACCCGCTTCACCAAGCACGTGCGTATCATCGAGCCCGGCTTCGTGTTCGTCATCTCCTACCTGTCCTACCTCACCTCCGAGATGCTGTCCCTGTCGGCCATCCTGGCGTAAGTCCTCCCTCGCTCCTATAGGCCCCAGAGCCTGGAGCATATTCTGGTGGCCCTGCTGGGAGGGGGGGGAGGGCTAAGCAGGGAGCAGGACCCACCCAGACGAGGGGGTGGCAGGAGTGGCGCCTGGGCTCCCACAGCCCCCCAGAAGGCGCCGTCTTTCACAGCCCCTTACACTATCTGCCTGGCCCACTTCCCAAGCCGAGTGGAAAGTCACTGTGGGGGCGAAAAATTTGATCTATTTAGCTTTTTAAATAGGGAGTTGGAGTTCTGATGCAATTGTCAGAGCTGCAGGTCCTCTCCGAGCCAAAGGGGAAGGGCTTTGTGTTCTGGGCCCACACCCGGCCCCTCCCTCCCAGGTCTGCCCTCGGCCTCGAGCAGAGCCAGCCAGCCTGGCTTGGACAGAAACAGGCAACCTGCTCTGCAGCTTAGGGTTCAGGTCCCGAAGGCTCATACTCAGGTGACAGTGGTGGCGAGGTACTGGAGCTGGGCATGGGCCCAGCTCAGGGCGCTGATCCACGGTAGGAACCCCGAGCTCATGGAGAGAAGGGCTGATCAGTGAGGTGGATGTCTGTCCAGGAGGCACCACCAGAGGACAGCAAGTGCTGGGTCTTGAGAATGACCCCACAAGGTCAAGTGGGAGCAGAGTGTGGCCCTGTGGCCTCATGCATGTTGTCTTATACCCCAGCATCACCTTTTGTGGCATCTGCTGTCAGAAGTATGTGAAGGCCAACATCTCGGAGCAGTCGGCCACCACTGTGCGCTACACCATGAAGATGCTGGCGAGCGGGGCCGAGACCATCATCTTCATGTTTCTGGGCATCTCGGCAGTGGACCCCCAGATCTGGAAGTGGAACACGGCCTTCGTGCTCCTGACGTTGGTCTTCATCTCTGTGTACCGAGCCATTGGTGAGGGCATGGTGGCAGAGGGTGGGGAGTGGGGGGTGATGGGGGATGGTGAGGGACAGTGTGGGCATGGGGGAGCCATGGATGATGAAGGGGAGACCATGTGGACTATGGGAGATGGTGGGGGACAATGGGAATGGGGCACAATGGGGGAAGATGGGGGATGGAGAGATGGAGGATGGGAGACTACAGAGCTAATAGAAAGGTGGGAGGAGGACAATGGAGGGACAGCACTGGGGAGACAATAGTGGGGTGACAATGGAACTGGCTGTGGGGAGTCATGGGAACCAGGGACTTGGCATTTGCCCCCAGTCCAGTGAAAGGTAGGTTCAGGAGCCCTGGGGAGCCTCAGATGGACTGTCAGTAGTCCTCAGTGAAGTTCCAGGCCTTCTTGTGGCCTCACCACAGTGAGACTAAGGTGGGACACAGCTGGGGGCAGGATGGAAGGTTCTGGAACCCAGGGGAACCCATTTGGTTTCCCACTGACTCACTCTGGATGTGGCAGAGTGACTCAGGGACAGTGTCGTCACTGAGGAAATGAACCATGGCATGTGTGAGGCAGGAGTCCCTGCTACCCCCACCCAGAACCTGCCACCATCCCTGGTGTGTGGTGCCTTGGGGGCCGTGAGTGGGGTCAGTGGCAGTGAGAGAGGCTCCCAGTGGTCACACCTGCTCCTTCCCCAGTCCCTGGGGACCAAGGGCTCCGGGGAGCAGATGCCATGGTGGGGTAGGGTCACTCTCTTCCTGCTGCCCTCAGCAGTGGCCTTTGGCCCTGGAGCTGCCTGAGCAGCAAGAGGCAAGGCCTCAGCCAGTAGAGCCTTAGCCACACTGAGACCTGAGAACAGCGGAGCTGCCCGGCAGCCCAGCACCACAAACTCCGAGTGTTGGCCGTATCCACAGAGCGCGCGGTTCCAGGGTAGAACAAGGGCCGGGGGTGAGCAGGGCCACGGGCTGGAGTTTTCATCAAGCCCTATGCTGGATGCTGCTGTCACCTGTCACCGCCTTCCATCCACGGAGGGAATTCCTAGATGTTACCTTTCAAGTGCAGCGGCGGCCTAGGAGGACGATGGTGGGTGCACGGTGCTCTGTGGAAGCTGAGCGCACGCCTGGTCCCCGCCTGGTCCCCGCAGGTGTCGTGCTGCAGACCTGGATTCTGAACCGGTACCGAATGGTGCAGCTGGAGATCATAGACCAGGTGGTCATGTCCTACGGCGGCCTGAGGGGCGCCGTGGCTTTTGCCCTGGTCGTCCTTCTAGATGACAAGAAGGTCAAGGAGAAGAACCTCTTTGTCAGCACCACCATCGTTGTCATCTACTTCACCGTCATCTTCCAGGTAGCCCCCGGCCGGGCCAGCCTCGCCTTGCTGTCCCCCCGACAGCCCTCCTCGCCCCACTCGCTGGCTGCGAGGGGCAGGCCACCGTCACCGCTCCCTCCAAAGGGCCTTTCCAACTCCAGGCCCTAATTGGATTTTGTAATTTTAGTAACTAGGAGCTGTTTTGTAGGTTTTCATGTGGCCCCACAGGGGACACAGCACAGTTTGGCTTAAAAATGTCCTTCCTTAGCTGCCACTGGTTAACGGAGCCCCAGTTAATATTTTATCCCTCAACTTGGCCTTACTTTAGGCTCATTTGAGAAGCTGATTTGGGGCTCTTTAGGGGTATCAATGGACCCACAGGGGCTGTTGGGGGGGTTCCTCTCTGCAGGGAAGGTCGCAGACCTGCTGGGTCCCTGGATAAGGGTGGCCCACTTCACCCTGTGTGGGTGCGAGTGAGTCGGGTGTAGATTCACACACTGGGGACCCATTGGGCTGGAGTGGGGTGCAGTGGGGCCTGCCCTGGCTGTCAGCATCAGTGTACCTCTGTCTCCCAGGGCCTGACCATCAAGCCCCTGGTGCAGTGGCTGAAGGTGAAGAGGAGTGAGCATCGTGAGCCCAAACTCAATGAGAAGCTGCATGGCCGGGTAGGGGGTGCAGGGAGGGAGGAAGCAGTGGGGAAGGGGGAGAGCTGGGGGAAGGGGCAGGCATGGGGAGAAGCACAGGGAGGGCCATCAGTGACACCCACCCTCCTGTCTGTTCTGGAAAGGCGTTTGACCACATCCTCTCAGCCATCGAGGACATATCAGGACAAATCGGACACAATTATCTCAGAGACAAGTAAGTGGCTGGCACATGGGAACCTTGGGCGGGACTTTTGCCTCAGTTGTTCATTTCCTTCCCTCCTCCTTTATCCAATGACTGACTATAGGACCCTCAGGGTAAAGAGAACACTGCCTTTCACCTTAAATCTAGCCCCACAAAACCCTAATTATGGAAGAACACTGTACTCAAAGGAACCTAAATGTCTGGGTCCCCCTCCTCCACCTGGGGCCCCCTCCTCCCCTTCCTCTGCTTGGAGCCCCTCCTGCCCAGGGTGTCCCCCCTCCCGCAGTGCACTGAGCCTCTTCTAGAAGTTCCTCTTCAACTCTGGCCCAGCCACATCCTCTTCTGACCCAAACAACTGGTCACTGTTCTAATTGTGTTGAATTAAAAAATTTATTCTTTTTGGGCAGCCTGGTTCTCTCTAAGTGTGAGAGCTGGGGTTGGGGGGTCTCCTCCCCTGGCCTATGCCTCATGCAGGTACAATGCACCCCTGTCACTGTAGCCAGAGCTCGGAGCCCCTGCCCTCACCCAGCCCCACCTCTCTAGAGGGCTGTATAGTGATTTGGAAAACTCTCTGCAATATGGAGTTAAATTAGAAAATGGAACCCACAATTTTATGTACCTTCTAATGACAAATGTCATCAGATAGAAAGGTAGGAACAAAGTACAGAATTGTGAAATAGGTCTGATTGTGGTTTATTGCTCTTATTTTAAAACTCACCTTTGTGGTGGTTATAAATAGTACATAAAAACCAGGGAGAGACAAGGGGGTCTTCTGTGCCCACTCAGCTTAGGAGACCATGTTCAGTGAGTCTGGGTAGTGGGTGGGGAATGCCCTTCTCCGTCCTCTCCAGGCCTTGCCCACAGCTTGCCAGGTGCTGACACTTTCTGGTTCCATCCCCCAGGTGGTCCAATTTTGATAGAAAATTCCTCAGCAAAATCCTTATGAGAAGGTCAGCCCAAAAGTCACGAGATCGAATTCTTAATGTTTTCCATGAGCTCAACTTGAAGGACGCCATCAGCTACGTGGCCGAGGTACCAGACACGCCACATGTTCTCAGTGTTGGAGGTTGGGGATGATGCAGGACTCAGACATGGGATGTGGACAGCCACTGGGGTCTTCCTGCACCCGAGGACTTGGGTGGGTGGGGTTGTTGCAGTGGCACGATGCTATTCTTAATGGCCCACCCCCAAGTCTATGTGAGGCTAATGGGTCCTCCAACACCTTGAGAAAGGGTCATGTCACAGCTCCTTCTCACTCATGGGAAGCTGAAGCATAGAACCTTCCCCCCTCACTCTGTCAGACACTATGGTGCTGGTGGGTCTGACCTCTGAGGCCAGGTGGGGAATATGGTGCCATGGCTCCCAACATACATGTACACACAGGCAGTCATGCACACATATGCACATGTATAGAAGCAGCAAGGATGTCTTCTCCAGTCCCATGGGTAAGTATGGCACACACCCATGGACAGGCTATGGTTCTGAAGTGGCCTCCCCATCATCTCCTAATCCCTCCAGGTGAGCAGGACTCTCCTGCATTCACTGAGCTCCCTGCCTTCTCCAGGTGAATGGGTCCACCCCCAGGTCTCTGAAAAGGCTGTCCAACCCCATGTATCCAGGATGTGGCTTGAATGAGCAGGCTCAGGGAGCATGTGGGTAGATAAGGGATGAGCCTGCTCTGTGGGCTGCATGGTGACACCCAGCATCTTGCTATTTCTGATACCACCTTCCTATTGGCAGCCTCCAGCCACTCACAGTCAGGACTCAGGATATGTCTAATGGGACACGAGTCATGGGGAGGTCTCAGGTCTAACTCCACCCCTCGTGCGACACAGTGTGCAGCTGGCCTCTTCCCCAGTGGCCACACACCTCCTGGCAGTGCTTCCTAGCTTCTCAATGCATACATGTGACCACCACATGGCCATTACATTGATCATCAGGCCTCTTCTGCAATATACATGTCTCCATGCATGCCCTGTGGGCCCCAAGGTCACCTGGCACCCTGTACAGGCCTGGGTCTAGACAGGTCCCGAGCTTGCTCCTCCCCCACCCCCAGTGTGTGTCCTGTAACAGTGACTTCCAAGCCATTCCATACGGCCCTGCTGGGCACTGCTGCCCACAGTGGCAACCAGTATTCACATGGGCAGGGTCACTTTAGATCCCTGCCCAGGCCTCCTCCGAGGGGCTCTGACCAGGCAGTCTCTGCCTTCCCTCTGATCCCTCAGAGCCTGTAGATTTCATGCCTTCCCTTTGTCCTATCCTGTGCCAGCTGGGATCTGTGTAGGGCCTGGTGAGCTGGGGGGTCTCAGCAAATGATGTGGCCTCAGCACAGAAATGCATTAGGGGACTGGAGGCATCTGCTTGTCCAGAGAGAAAATGACTGCTGTCTCTGCAGGGCTCCTCTACTCCACACATGCTGGCCTCTCAGACCCAGGGTTACACAGAGCGACCAGGTGCTCCTGGCAGAGGAGCTGGAGGCCAGTGGGAGATAAGGAGAGGGGGCCCTAAACTATCCACTGAGCCAGTGCCTCCCCAACCCAGCTCCATGGAAACCCCAACCCACATGCTCCAGACTCCAAGACCCCATATGGGTGATGCGGGCTCCTGGCAAGGCCCCCAGCCTCACCTCTACCTGCTGCTCCCCACACCCATTGCCCCACCTGGCCACCCTTCCCAGCTCCAAGCCCCTCCCCTAAGGGGTGCCCCCAGCACATGCCTAGCCCCCAGCAACAGGAGCCAGGCTGTGATTTTTGTTCCTGTTGGGCTCTGCTCTGTGTGGTCTCAATCTGAAGGTTTAATTCCTGAGGGTTCCCTTCTTGGAGAAACAAAGACAGCTGGCTTGAACCCCCAGTGGGGACAGAGGTCACCTTCTTTAATCCCATGGGGATCTGTCATGCTTTCCCAACACTCCCCATGGTGCACACTGAGGTGCTGTGTCTTTTACTCACAATTGTGTCTTCACTTTCCTCTTAACACAATGACTGACTAACCGCTCAGCTCAAGCAAGGCCTTGGCTGTGGCCTCTGAAATCTCAGCTCTCCAGGCTAAGAGGTGACATGATCAGGCGCTGCAGGCTTTCTTGGGCTCTGTTCCAGTGCCTGGGGTGTTCCCTGTCCTGGATTATGCATGCATATCCTCTCGCAGGGAGAGCGCCGTGGGTCCCTGGCCTTCATTCGCTCCCCCAGCACAGACAACATGGTCAACGTGGACTTCAACACACCACGCCCCTCCACTGTGGAGGCCTCCGTCTCCTACCTGCTGTATGTGCCCCAATTCACCCAGGCTTCCCCCTGGGAGAAGCCACCCCTCACCAGGGCACCTCTCACCATGACCCCGGAGGCTGCTGTGGGCGGGAGTGGGTGTATTCCCCGGCCAGGTTCCCAGGCCTTCCTGATCACAGCTACAGCAGGGGCCCCTCTGGACAGGCATCAGCCAGTGGGCATCTTGGGACAAAAGGGGCAAGTGCAGGCTCCCAGCGTGAACACCATGGGGGATGGCACAGGGTGTGGGGAGGGGCATGGAAACAGGTGGGGGCCAGGTATTCCGCCTACACAGACAAATTCACCTTTATTATCCAGTCAACATGTTGGTGTTGGCAGAGAGGGAGGGAAGGAAAGCCAGGCAGCAGATTTGGGGCAGAGCCTCCTGCCTTTGTCCGGCCAGCTGCTTGGCTGGGGTTTGTAGGCAACAGAGGGCTGTTCTTGGCCTTGTCAGTCAGTGTCCAGGTGCTGGGGAGAGGCAGTGGGTGCATGGGCGCGCAGGTGGGCTCACAGCTGGGGCTTTAGAGGGGCTGTGGGAACTGCACACAGATTAGGTCAACCTTAAATACGAGACCTTCTAGGGGTCATTCTGACCAAAATCCCCAGGGCGAGGACTCCCAGGATCAGCCCTTTTGGCAGGGGTTGGTGCCCAGGCCAGAGGGCATGGGGGCAGACACAGGAGAGCACGGAACTCTCCGACACTCCATGTGGTCCCATGTAGGAGGGAAAATGTCAGTGCGGTGTGCTTGGACATGCAGTCCTTGGAGCAGAGGCGGAGGAGCATCCGCGACACGGAGGACATGGTCACTCACCACACGCTGCAGCAGTACCTGTACAAGCCCCGGCAGGAGGTGCGCTTGCCAGCAAGTGGGGGATTCTGCCCAGGGAGAGAGCCTTGGGTGGGGACACCGGCCCCCCTCTCCTCTCCCTGAAACAAGGGAGAGAGCCTCACCCTTAGGGCAGACAGCGCTCAGGCTGGAGGGCCAGGGCTCAGCCTACCAGCCAGGTGGGCCTGGGGCTCTGGAGCCCAGGGAGCCCGCCCTGGGGCGGTGGGGTCGGGGTGCCTCCAGCCCTGGGGCCACCACCAGCCCTAACTGTGACTGTCACCGCCCTGCCTTCCCCAGTACAAACATCTCTACAGTCGGCACGAGCTGAGCCTGGAGGAAGATGAGAAGCAGGATAAGGAGATCTTCCACAGGACCATGAGGAAGCGCCTGGAGTCTTTCAAGTCCACCAAGCTGGGCATCCACCAGAACAAGAAGGCGGCCAAACTGTACAAGCGAGAGCGCGCCCAGAAGCGGGTGAGGGCCTGGGCGAGGGCTGGGCGGGGCCTGGGCGGGGTGGCAGGTGGGGCGGGGGTGCCG